TGAGTGACTGTGCACAGAGCATCCCGATCCAGGAAGGGGTGCAACTGACGTACCAGGCGAACCTGGTTATCATGTAACCTGGATTCATGGAATCCTCCGTAATTTTTCTCATTAAGTTTAAAATACTAGTCTGTTTGAGTAGCATCCATCGAATATCCCTTGCAACTCCTATTCTGCTTCAGATATTCCATGTTAGTTCAGACTAAAACCAGTATGCCTGCAAAGCACATATTGGTTTTTAAAGAATGCAGATTTTTGTTCTACTGAGAAAATGACTTGCCTTTTATAAAAAGCATTAATATTTAAGCTTATAGTATTGATTTTTATGTACAAGACGCAAGAAAGCTACTAAAACATGAATAAAAAAGGCAGAATACCATGGGAAACATTATCTATATTTCAAAATCAGATTGTTGCAAGTGAAAACCAAAGCTACAATAAACAGACAGCCTATTCTACCTCGGAGACCGCTGCTCTTAATATTTTCAAAATAGATTGCTACCAAGAATAGAACATAAGACAGAAGGCTTATTTAATTAAACATCATTATCATTTCTGGAACACAGCTTTAAGAAAACACCACGTCCATAATAGCCATCCTCCTCAGCAAATACAAACATTAAAAATAATCAAAGGCCTAAAATATTAACATGTATTACTAACTACAATGATAAGTTTGTAGTTTATTTTGTAAGAGTGAATATTGCTATCTAATTAAAAAGCTATGCATTTCTTATTCTCACTCATATGGTTACATATAATTGTTTGCTTCAGTTACAATGTACAGTTACAATTACAAAACTTTCAGAAACTGCACAACGCTGCTCCAATAACCATAATCTCTAATCAAAGAATTACTATTACATAGTAACATTCGCTTGTATAAAATATCTATAAACACATTCTGCTTGATTTTCAAATGTGTCTTTATAATACCTTCTGTCCTATTATTTTACTTCGTGAAATAAAGATACTAACCTTCGAGGATGATTGGCATCAAACAATGTGTTATCATCATCATCATCATCTTGCTCTAAAGGTGTCAGCTCTGTGTTTTCTATGTTTGTGTCCAGAACACCATATTTCCGTGTCTTCCTGTTTCTTCGTCTAAGTCTAATACAAAAGTTATAATGTGTAAATCAGGGTTGAGGAAGACTAATATGAGCAGAATTAGATTTGAATTTTCAGTGTACAAAATAAAAATGAAATATCTGAGTCAATATACAAGTTTGTATTCTAGGTTAATCAACAATGAAACAATTTCCACCCTTCCCGAATGTTAGTATTTGTCCCATGCAAATACAAAAATATTAAACTAATTAAACTTTAAATATATTCTACAATATAGAGCATAAAGAAATTGTAGAGAGATTAAAAATATACAGGTAAGTTTGAGAAGTATCAAGCACCCTACACACTGAGTTTTAATGGTCCTCTCTTATCACCAGTTATATTCACTTAAAGTTTCATTTTTAACTACCTTTGCTTATTTTACATATTTATTTGGCCTATTTATATTAACTGCTCTCTATAGTTATCAGAATGCCAAATTAAACAGTCATGCCATGAAGCTTAGGGATATATAAAAATAAGAAATAACTTCTGTGGAATACTGAATTCTGAACTTTATCTGTGTACTGATTTATTCACTGCACCTCTGAATTTTGTGTTGAAGAAATTAAACGAACAGTAGCAATAATCCTGTTTTCTAAAATACCAGTTCTTTATTTCTTATCAATGAAATATATAAAGATATACCGGTATTACTTAAGGTCTTCTTGGTTTCTTTCTCTCAGCAGCTCTAAAAACCTTATTCTTTCCATCTACAAATTGTTTTTCTAGTCTAATTTAGTATTCTATAGAAACCAATAGTTCACATTTAGCTGTAACTGTATCTGTTATGTGGAGGCTATGCTATTACTTTATATCAATTACTTTAGTGATCATGATAACCAATGAGCTAATTCAAATTGTTTTCTCATTAAAAAGCCACTTGCTGCCATATCAAAATAATGCTTTTTAAAAACTCCCATTAGTAATAACAATATGTAAAATGGAAATTTTACATGGAACAAAGTCACCAGTTTTCACTATTTGTAAAATTTATTATCTGCCCATCTTACCACAGGGTGACTCTGGGCGGCTTACAATAATTATATATGTGATGATGATGTGTGTATATATTTATTGCCAACTTCTCTAACTTTAATGTCTTATTTAATCTCTTGTGTTTCTTGTATTATGACCATAGTAAATTTGTGATACGGTTTTCAGAACTGGTAGGTGTCCCACTTCTTCATTCAAGTATTATAGTATTACTTGTGTCTCTTCCGTAAATTATATTATTCAGGAAAATAAGGTGTATTTGAATAAGTTATAAATATTGTAGAATAAAAAGAAATCACCTTCAGCAGGAAAGGTGACATTGCAAGATAAACAGTGAGTCAATTGCAGTTTTACAGCATGAATTTCGGGTTAAAGCAATAGTTGTACTCACTGAATGTTTCATTGCACTTTATTTGTCCAAAATCACTCTCAGAAGATGTTGTTTATAGTGGCTTGTTGGCCTTTAATTACAATGGTGTCAGTAAGTCTGAGAAAGGGTTGCAATTATGTTGAACAAGAAAATGAAATCCCATGCACAAACTTCTATTTGCTTGCATAATAATGGATTCAACTTTGACTGCTTTATAGTATACAGGGGACTGGGGAGTTCTTGCAATGGCTCTCTTACTGCAGCCAACATCACCCTCCCTACTTGCATTTTTAATAGTTTTTAGTGGTGAAGTTTTTATATAGTTATTGTATTTTTAATTATTGTGTACTGTCTAGAGTCACATTCTTACAAGATGGGCGGCGATATAAATATGATGTATGTATGTATGTATGTATGTATGTATGTATGTATGTATGTATGTATTAAAAAGAACTTGGAATCACTCTGAATAGTGACATGGGTGGCATATAAATTTAATAAAAATATTTCTGATATTATTCAACACTTCAGAAAATAGTTATTCATATGTGGCTTTATAAATAAAACAAACTGTAGGAAAATAATCCCTGCAATTCATGTGCAATATTTAGACGTTTGAAAGAACCAAAACTAGGATAGCATCTTAAGCACTTATGAAACTTAAGAGTTGTATCTGATGAAGTGAACTGTAGCCTCTAAAAGCTTATACCTGGTCACAAAAGGTGCTATCATATTTCTGGTAAATCTATGCTTCATGTAGATAAATACTGAAGGAGCATATTTGCCACACTTACATGAAACATTTGAACTAAGGGTTTTTCCCTTGTACGGTACTACATAGCTCATTATACAGAAAATACTGAAATATAGCATACCAATTTAAAACAAATAGTCACAAATTTCCCCTAAAACACATCTGATAATTTTTCAAAAATTAGTTTAAACTGTATTTAGAATAGAGATCTTACCAAAATATATTCTGCTTATTTTGTGTACGATTCAATAAAGTATCTATGGTGTATGTATAGTGAAAGCTGACTTTCCCACCTAATATCTTGGACATACCATGAAAAAGCTACTTTGAAAGATCAAGAAATCCCAAAGTCTTCAAAATCTGAGTTAGCATCAACTCTTAACAGATCCCTTTAGAAGTCCACTCTGTATCTATGCAAAAGGAATAAGGAATCTTGCTCTAGAAGCGTTTTATTATGATCCTTCTTTCCATTTATCTATCTATACTTTTAGCTTCCAATGAATACCAAATGAAATTCACATGACTGTGAACACTCTTTTATCCTTTGGGGATTTTTAAGCTTTCAAAAGCCTTGTTTTTTGCAGCTGCTAAACACTTGAAGCTAGGCCTTTCAGTAGCTCACCAGACTTAAACCAAAGTACAGCATTTTAAAATTCTTCCTTTAAATCTCTAAAAGCTCTTTTATTGCTATACAGATAGTCCTCGAGTTACAACCATTTATATACTGATCATTTGAAGTTACAACAGCACTGGAAAAAATAAGTTATGCCTATTTTTCATTCACAACTGTTGCAGTATCCCCATGGTCACATAATCAAAATCTGGATGTTTGTCAACTGGTATGCATTTATGACGGTTGCAGTATCCTGGGGTCATGTGATCACCTTGTGACCTTTTAACAAGCAAAGTTAACATGTTAGTCAGATTCACTTAACCGTGTTAAAAACTTAACAACTCAGTGATTCATTTAACTATGGTAAGAAAGGTTGTAAAATGACCCAAAACTCATTTAACTGTCTTGTTTATGAATTGAAATTTGAGGCTCAATTGTGGTTATAAGTCAAGGACTACTGGTATTTTGCTATGATCCTAAAACTATTCAATTCAAACCCTCTTTCCAAAATTACATAAGCATTCCAGACTTCATCTGTCAGGATTCCACCACACCCTGAATTTCATCATTTTAACTACACCTCAGGTCTCAGGTGCTACCAGTGCTTCTGTAAGCATTGCAAAGGTGCTTACAAAAAGAGAGAGACAGGGAGAGAAACAAACCTAAAGGAGCAGACAAGATACAAAACCCTTTACATCCAAAAGTATATATTTGTATCACTATTTTTCTGTCTGCATTTATCACAATGCATGTCCATGTAACTCAGGAGGATTTGTACCACACAGTTATTTTATCACAAGACATATAAAGTATAAAAACCCTGTCTCTTTTATATATCAATAGGCATTCTAACTGTGACTTTGGTTACTCTGCACATTATCTATCAATTTGGGTGGTCTGTTCTGGGGTGGTGAAAGAATGTCAAACCCAAATTTATTCTTGATGAATGTATTTTATTCTCCTTTTGTACACTGAGAGCATACGCACCAAAGACAAATTCCTTGTGTGTCCAACCACACTTGACCAATAAAGATTTATATTCTATTCTAATTAGACCTTCAAATAAACGTTAAGTGAGCCACAAAATTAATCCTCCACACTCAGATACACTGGGGGGAAAAAATAGTCCACAGTAAGCCGACCCAGCAAAAACAGGATAGGAGATTTAAAAAAAAACGATTCTAAAATGATTTCTAAAGTTTACCGGAGCCAAAGAAATGTACGTTAAGCCGTGAAAAGACTAACAAGGGAAGGAAGTGGAAGAAGGGACGAGCCGAAGCAAACTACTCCGTTCTCCCTCTCGCCCCGAAAAACTCGACCTTAGTTACGGTTCAGGTCCAGGCAGACGCCGCGGTCAGAGGGCTAAAGGCGGGGAAGAAAGCGGGGGCCGTCGAGCCCTTCCCGGGACCGAGCGAGAAGGAAAGGCTGAGGGGCCGCTCACCGAACGGTCCGGATGACGAAGTAAACGATGAGGGCAGCGCTGGCCAGAACCAGCACCGAGAGGGCGCGCTGGGTCATGGGCTGGTTGACCTCCGAGCGGGGGGGCGCGGCGGCCATGCTGCCGTTCACGCTCACGCCGCCGCCCCGCGGTCCTCCCTCGCCGGCAGAAGAGCCGCTGCCGCCCGGCGTCCCCGGCAAGGCGGAAGAGAGTTTCTCGGTGGGAGGCGCCGCTCCTCCATACAGCACGGCCGCCGAAAGCAGCACCAGCAAAAGCGACAGGGGCGGCGGCGGCCAGAGCCGCCGCATGGCACCCAATCTAAGCCTGGCTGGCGGTGCGCGGCCTAAGCCCCGCCGGTTCCTCGACGGAAGGAAGACTAGGAGGCGGAAGTGCTCATCTTTCCGGCGACTGAAACCGCTGCCATGGACGCCGAGCGACGCTAAGAAGCCTCAGCTTTGTCCCCTCCCGTTCCTGCCACGTGACCGAGGGACCTCTGGCGCCTGCGCAATAGTTGTTGCTGCGGCGTTTGCTTTGAGATTGGCTTTAGTGGGAGGGTGGAGGAAGAGCTGGTAGAAAGTGAGGCGCTTTGGAGTACCAGAAAGGGACCAGATTTGTATTTGGTGTCCTGGTAATAACTGTTGTCCCAACATTTCTATTCCTTCCTTCCTTCCTTCTATCCATCCATCCACATTTGGATGGTTTGCTTTGCGAACGTCTATGAAGATTCTCAGTCATCCACCTCATGGTTGTCCCAAAGGTGCTTTTTCAAGAGGCAAATGGACTTTCTGGTTTTTCTCTGAAGACATTTTACTTCTCATCCAAAAAGCTCCTTTTTCAAAGAAAAACCAGAAAGTTCAGTTGCCTCTTGAACAACCGCCTTTGAGAGAACCATGACTTGGATGACTGAGAATCCCTATAGACATTTGGCGATGAACTTTGGGCTGAACACTCTTCAAATGGTGTGGGAATATGAAAGGATTTCCAGAAAAAAATTGCAGACTACAGGAACTATATGCATTCAGAGTTTAAAGAAGCTTCTTGGATAAGAAGTGAAACATCTTCAAAGAAAAACCAAAAAGTCCAGTTACCTCTTGAAAAGGCACCTTTGGGATATTGTTGTAAACACTCACTAATATAGACGCTTCTGTTTGTATTGGATAGAGCACCTCAACATTTCTTGTGCCTGTAAGAATAAAGGATAAACAATTGTAGTAGTTAGATAATAAACCACCCAAAACAAATTTAGCTATCAGCCATGCAATCTGTTCTACCTGTCGTTCAGTTGAAGAAGAGATTTTTAAAACAAGGAACATCAAAAGTTGCCTTAGGCCTGATAAGCGAAAACATGAAGCTGTACTGTAATGTAGATGTTAGCCTGGTTTGGCCTTGATGTTTTTTCTGAATCCAAGAATTTATTTTGTAAATCAAGGTTAACAGTGTAGTTAGTGTCTGCTGTGTAAACTCACTGGATTAATCAATAAACCAGTTACTGTAATAATCTGTATGCCACCCAACTCAATGATTCTGTAATTTATAAGTATCAAACTCTCCTCACTCATAATCCTCAAGTGACATTGAAACAGACAAATGCCCTAAATCTGGCCACCCTCTTGCTTAACTAGGGGCATCATGGGTGAGTCAAATAGTGGGAGAATTAAACAAGCAAAAGAAATCCAATAATATTGTGTGTCCCTTAGCCCACCGTTTCTGAGCACCTCTAGTCATAATATTCAGGTGGGAGACAAGTATAGGTAAAACACTGGAAAGGAAAAGAACTTGAAACCCAAGTGGAAGGCCCTGTATACTGTGGTTAGGTGTTCTCCACTTGCAGTAAGAGTGTTGGAATCCAAGTTTTGGATACACTGGACTAATCCAGTGGATTAATCCAGCTCCTGACAAGTCTTGGGAGGCAGACCAGGACAAAGCCTGTTCTTTAGTGGTACGTTTGAAGAAATGCCCCTCATAACTGTTCTACCGGCCACGGGGAAACTACTTACGGGGCAGACTACTTACGGGGCAGAAGAGGCCTTACTGGCGTAACCCCTGGAAGCTGATGTCTTTACATACGGCCGAAGATTTGGAGGAGGAAGACAACATTCCATTTATTAACCTGCTGTATTTCTCCATCTGCCCACAACATCTTCCAACAGAAGATCACCACCTCGCTTCCACCTCCCCCCTCACTAGTAACCGTTGGGAGGGGAATTTGACTACTGAAAAATGCCCAAGGCCATTTCAGCCACCCCGATTCCCAATTTGGCTCTCAATTCAATCCACCACAGGATTATGTTTTCACTCTCCCCCTGGAAATAACAGTTCCCATTATCTGGTTGAAGGTCCAGTTCTCAGGGATTAACAAAAGGATCCTAAGCAAGAAGCACTTACTGGCATGTTCATGGCAGGGACCTTGCAGGCCTGGACTAATGAAAAGAACCTCCGAGCCCATGCCTTTTCCATGAACATAGGTGTGTGTGTAGGAGAAAATGGAGTTTTCTTCTTATGTGGGAAAAAATCATATTTATGCTTACCTAGCAATTGGACTGGAACATGCACCCTGGGGACTGGAGAAGGTGTTTTGAGAGAATGAGGTCTGAGAAACACCCTATATATGCATTACTTACTCTTTCTTCTCACTGCTATATATCATTATCCTGAAGTGATTATGTTATGCCAAATATTATATGTTGCATTGCTAATATGTACTGCTGAAATATTAATCTTGCCAGAGTTAAGCAAAGCCCAAAAGCCCTGCCGCTGTGTCCGAAATAGAGGCATCTTGCCTCTATGGCGGACACAGCGCCGGGGCATCCAAAAGCCCTGCCGCTGTGTCCGACATAGGGCGGCTTTTGCCTGCTTGCCTCATCAGCCATAAACCTCACCGCACGTCTCTGATCGTTATATATATTGCAGCACAAATCTCATCACAAGTATAGTACAGAAAACATCTGGAGGAAATTAAGATAGGCAAATTAATGTGCTTTGCAAGATAGCAGAATAACAGAGTTGGAAGGGGCCTTGGGGGTCTTCCAGCCAAACCTGTTCAAGTAGAAACCACTTACCATTACGGATAAGTGGCTGTCCACTCTCTTAAAAGTCTATTATGATGGAGTTCCCACAATATCTTCCACTTCCCGCAAGCTCTTCCACTGGTTAATTGTCATCACTGTTAAGAAGTTTCTTCTTAGTTGATTTTCTCCTTGATTAGTTTCCATCCAATCCTTCTTGTCTTGTCTTCTAGTGCTTTCGAAAATATGTTGACCCTCCTCTTCTTTGTGGTAGCTTCTCAAATATTGGAACACTGCTATCACCCCTAATCCTTTTCACTATACTAGCAATTCCTGCAAACATTCTTCATATATTTTAGCCTCCAGCCTCCTAATCATCTTTGTTGCTCTTTTCTGCACTCTTTCCAGAGTATCAACATCTGTTTTAAAATATGTTGAACAAAACTGGATGCGGTATTCTAAATCTGGTCTTACTAAGGCTTTATGATGTGGTAATAATTCTTCATATTCACCTGATCTTGATTCTATCCCTCTGTTAATGTAGCCTAGGATTGCTTTGGCATTTTTTGCTGCTGCTTCACACTGCTGGCTCATATTGTTCACTAGAACTCTAATATCTCTCTCATATATACTGCTATCGAATCAGGTTTAAGCTAATCTGTATCTTTGCATTTGGGTTTTTTTGCCTGTGCAAACCCTACTTTTCTATATATTTAATTTTCTTTTGTTTGACAGGGCTCAATGTTCAAGTCAGATCCATCTGAATCTTGAGCCTATATTCTGGGGTATTGGGTTTTCTTGCCAGTTTTGTGTAATCTGTAAATTTGAATAGTTCTCTTTCTATTCTGTCATCTAAATTGTTTATGAATATGTTGAAAAGTACTGGCCCTAAATGGACCATGTGGAACCTACTGCTTGCTTCCCTCCATGTAGATGTAGTACCATTAAGGATGACACATTGAATGCAATTTGTCAGCCAGTTATGAATCCACTAGTGGTGATGCTGTCTAGCCCACATTTTTCAAGCTTACCAAGAAGTAGGTTATGATCTACTTTATCAAATGCCTTACTGGAATCCAAATATACTATGTCCATAGCATTTCTCTGATCCACTAATTTAGTTACTTTTTCAAAGAATGAAATAATATTTGTTTGGCATGATCTGTTTTTTGATAAACCTGTTATAATTATAATAGTTATAATTTTGCTTGTTTCTAAGTGTTCACAGATTTGTTACTTAATTATCTTTGTCAGGATCTTCACAGATATTGATTGGTCTGTTGTTTCCTGATCTGATTTTTGACTCCCTTTTTTGAAGATGGGAACCATATCAGCTCTCTTCCAGTCCTCAGTGCTCTAGGATCTTTGACAGCTATGGTTCAGTGGTTCCGAGATCACATCTGTGGGACTTCATAATACCTTTTTCAGTATTTTGTTACAGCTACAAGGACTGAGTACAAACAAGCCTAAATATGTTTGATTTATAAGTCTTTAGTTTTGTTCATTTGTACTTCATAAAGCTGAAGCTGGAACATCAATGTAAAGTAGATATTCTACCAGCCAACACTGTTGTATGCTGATGGAAGTATATTGGCTATAGCCACATTTTGCTACCAACCATCAGCCCTGTCAAAAAATATTGAAGTTCTAATCTGTCATTTTGATTATTTTTGCTCGACAACTTATTTTTCAGTACATGTATTTCAAAGCGGGGCAAGCAGGATTCTGCAGTGTTTTATTGGTTTAGTTTAAAGTTCTGACTAAGGTAGAACAGATCTGCATTATTCCTCTCACTGATAAGTCTTTTTTTACTGTAATATACCAAAATATATAATATTTAGTGCTTTAAAGATATACAGAATTGAATTATAAATAATTGACAATTCTTTCTTCCAATATTTGTATTACATCATCTGTCATCAATAATAATGTTTTATTTTTGGAGTCTAATGCACTATAAATTTGATCTTAAAAATAAGCTTTCTTCATTTTTTACATTACTGCTTGAAGTTAACTTTACAGAATGCCAACTTGGCAGATTTTAATTTTATTAGGAATAATTTAAAAAGTGTTTATGCAGCCTTTTACTAAGTCAACTACAAATTATTAATTAAATGGGTGTCAAAACTAATCTTAGATTCAGTTTATTAGATTTTTATCCTATCAGTGTCAGATGCTACTTTTTAAAGAGAAATTAGAAATTATTAAGTTCTTATAATTTTGTCTATTAGTAGAATGTTTAAGGTGAATGTCCTTGAATTTTAAATCTAGATATTGCTCCCTTTTGCCATTAGAAACTGATTTAAAATTAAAGTTTAAAAATAAGCCAACTGAACATTTCAGCAATCATTTGAACTTACTATATGTTAAAGGATTGCTTTCTTATTAAACAATTACATGTTTTACCAATTCTT